GGATTGTACTAATTGGATTATTATATTGATATTGAGCAGTTGAACGTTCCTATTGATTAAGGAAACTTATATTTAGATATATTAATGAATGAATTTATTTGAATCTATTTGATTATAATATTCTACATAGATAGAGAGGGAAATTTTAAGAAATATTGTGTGAATTGTATATTTATAATGTTATTGGGTTTTTTTTGTAATTGACCACCATATCTCCAGGCTGGCTCTTAAGCTTCTGTTGGTGTATTATGGAAAACTAATAAAAATTGTTTATTAAAAAAAAGAATCATAAACCCAGTAACAGTAGAATTAGAATTACCCCAAAATCTTAGACAAATACACCCAATTTTCCACTGCAGTTTGCTGAAAAGAGAACATCAGTCACACTTATGGCCAAAAATCCCCCCCACCACCACCTCCAATCATGGTGGAAGGAGAACAACACTTCAAGATAAAGGAAATCCTAGACTCTAGGAGATATCATGGGACAACTCAATACCTAGTAGCATGGAAACACCTCCCTGCCTCACAAAACGAATGGGTCCATAAACATTATGTCAGAGCCCCAAAGCTATTAAAGAAGTGTCATGCAGAGTATCCTAAAAAGCCAGACTAACTTTTATACCTGTTTTGTTTCCTTTACAGGTGGATCTCTCTTATTTTTAAGAGGGGCAGGATGTCAGAATCCAATTATATTTCATTTCTATCTACCTACTCTGATATAAAACTAATTCTTATTCTCTTCCTGATTCTGTCATACTACAGAAAGGGAGGAGGATAAGCATGGGGGTTTTATGACTCACTCCCTTCATTAACTACAAAGTGACTGGTTGTTGATTCTCTTCGAGAGGACTAACCATAACAATGTGGCCATCGCCTTTCATCCTACTCCTCTGAAGTTCTCCCCTTTGCCAGCAGTGAGGGAAAAGTGGGGGGGGGGGAACGCAATGCCTGGGATCTGGAAAAAGAGAGAATGAGTGATCGTGCCAATGGAGTGGACTGATGTATTGAATCACCCGGAAGAACTGTGGGGTGGGGGCTGCTTGGGAACACTTTAAAACATTGAATGGTGGGAGAGGATCCCCCAGATCCTGTCTAGCATGCCTGTAATCTTAAGAAAGACTCCTGTTGGAAGAGACATTCCAAGAGTTCTGTCTTCTTAAGATGTAAATTGAGGTGGGTCCTTACAGAGACACTTGGAATATCACCTGTATTTTAATCCCATGAAAACTAATACTCAGTGTTTTCATTGTAGGTGGGTTTTGGCTATTTATTTTGTTTATACAAAACCTGCACCTTATAAGAACAATATCAGTTTGTATTGATAAGTATCCCAAACTATCAAATAGCATGTAAAAAAAAGGAGATTTTCATATTGCTGCCTTCTTTTCTTAAAGAATGTATTAAGATCTTTTCTCAAAATCAAGATATTTGGACTCCTAGAGTAAGAAATGTCATTATCCAATCTCATAAAGTAACAACTTTGTCTGAGTACATATACAATATCTTAATTCTATTTCTGACTGCTTTTCTGTTAATTTCTTAAGGCCACAGATATAAAAGCAAGCTGAGACTTTTTCCTTTATTGTTGAGCACAACAGGATCTGTTTGATGTGGCAGAGTTTCCTATCAACAAGTGTGAAATGTGTCACCAAACCACAAGCCTTCTTGCTTCCTTTGTTGCTGCACTGTCTATGATTTCATTTCTGAAAGTTATGAGGCATATTTTCTATAAAGGGAGTTACAGGACTCCCACGGCTGATTAAAATCAGGAAGCCTCTGCTCAGAGCCAGAGCTGTAACACCAAGAGGTTTTTTTTGTGTCCAATTGTTTAGAGGGCTTTGGCCTTGATACTTTCTTACAGAAATAAAGGACCAAAATAAATCACGATGGTGGTTGTACAATTAGCAATGATGTGAGTATAGCTGTGAAATGGTGTGAAATGGCTACAGGTAAGTCTCTCACCCAGATGAAACCTGAAGCAGGAGCAGGTGAAATCATGGCTCCCACTTTCTCCTAACCGTGGCTGGATGCAAACTATTGTGCTTGCAATTTAAAGAATCATTCAGGCAATTGGTAATTGTGTGAATGGAATCAGGCCTAGCAAATCCTAAGGTCTACTTCAGAGATTATGCATGAGGATGGTAGCAAAGGAAAGAATGTGTGAGGAGATAGGGGCAGCTGTCTGCTATTCCTTCCTCATCCTTCTTTTCAAGATATTCTCTATTAGAAGACAGAACTGGGCAGGCTAAATGGTCTGCATATTCTCCAGTGGTGGAATTTGATTTTCTTTTGTCAATACTGATGGAAGATTTATGAATCAGTTCCATCAGTTCATCTATATCAGGGGTCTTCAAACTTGGCCCTTTTATGATTTGTGGACTTCAACTCCCAGAATTCTTCAGCCAGCATGCCTGGCTAAGAAATTCTGGGAGTTGAAGTCCACAAGTCATAAAAGGGCCAAGTCTGAAGACCCCTGATCTATATCAAACTAGTGAGGGAGAATCTTTATTGCTTGTGGAAATAAAATGCTTTGGTCTGGTCTGGATCTGGTTCAAAAATGTAAAATGAAATAAAAGGATACTAGTTCACATACTGTAGAAGTGAGATACTTTTGTTGATGTTTTTCAATAAAATTGCCTGCAAATAATATCATCTATATACTAAAACTCTCATTGTCATGATCTTTAACTAGATGAAGCTGTCCATCACAAGGCAACAATTTTGAGAACAAGGTCCCTCAAATGGGCTAAATTACAGAATGTCTTATCTATGAATCTGGTACCCATGATTCCAAGGAAATGAAATTTGGGGAAATTGTGGTTTTTTTCAGTGCTATTGGCTTCTGTTGAACTGCTGGGCTGCTGCTGCAATTACATAATCTTCATTTTCAATATTCTGTGATAGTTTCCCAGCCAGCCTTGCAACCTCTTGCTTCCTGCTCCCCAGCAGCAGTCACTTACCTGCCTGTTGGGAAGGGAAGAAAACCCCACATGATCTTCCCAATCCATGCAACACCCACCATGCTCCCACAATCTTTACAACTTCCCTGACCTGCATAGTACTGCTTGCGTACCCTCACACACCCTCCCTGACATACACCATATCCTTGTGCATCTTCCCTGATCTGCACAATACCTCTTGCACTCCCTGATGCACCCTACCTGATCCACATCATCCCCCCACACCTTCTCTGAATCACACAGCATTTATTGTACACACCCAATGCACCATCCCCAACCCACACCCCTCCCATATGCCTTTCCCAAACTATGTGATGCCTCTTAGGAATCACCACATAATCTTTGCAACCCACCCTGCCTCCTGGCCACCACCCCTTATCTTCAAGGCACTTCTTGAAAATTTGAAAAAAATAAATTTGAAAATTTGAAAAAAGATTTTTTTAAAAAAAAAAAATCAGAGTTTTTAAAAATCTAAAAATTTACAAAAGTTCTTGATCCTTTATGAAGTAATATGCACTTCATTTGCTGAAAATTATGTAATGCTATTTTAGGAAATGAGTTCTAGCCAAACTGGTTTTTCCACTACTCACATTCCAGCTGCAGGAAAAGTGACTACTTTTAAACACAAGCAGAAAGATCATTAAACATATGACCTGTGTGCACATACAGTGTCCAGAGATGGAAAAGTGTGTGTATACAGATTGGACACACTTGATTTCAGGTGATGCAAGTTGACTGTGCTCTTTGTAGTCCTCTCCAAGTGGGTTATTTTAGCCAGCTTTGATAACAGGGAATCCTTTTGTGGCCTAATTCTTAGTTTTTTAAAGTTGCATTATGTCATTTTGCCACATCAAAAGATGCCACATCAGAAAATAATTTAGAACTGTTCAATCTAGGAGGGATTTACCCCACTTTCAGCAACATTTATAACTAATCCTTCTTCTAATACACACATGATCAAAAACTGCAGTTCAGACATTAGATGTTCTTTTAAAACCAGCTTAGAGTAAAGGAGCAAATCTAACTATGGCTTTTGTGAGAAAATTGGTCAAGCTGGGTTTCCTTTTGATATACATCTTATTGTATATACAGTAAACAGTAGATCAGAACCTGGCTGCAATTAAAAAATGGATCACAATTTTGCAAGAGAAGACTGATGGTAGAACCTGCTTTTATGGAGAAATGAAGTTCAGGTTTTCTGCCCTGAAAACTAGAGCACCGTGAACAAATGTCAAGCTATGGCCTCAAACTGACCATCATGCTGCCTGTAAGGACACACTTCAATCCCACATCTTAAGGAAGCAGAACTCTTGGAAACAATTTCTTTCAACAAGAACTTTTATTAAGAGTAGTTGATAGCAGGCATAATAAACAGGATCTGAGGGATTTCTTTACAGATCAATTACTTTAAAGCAGGGATGTCAAACTCAATTTCATTGAGGACTGCATCAGCATTGTGGTTGCCCTTGGGGGGCCGGGTGGGTGTGGCCAGGGTGGGCATGGCCAGCTCTACATTGTTTGCGTCAAGGGTGCCTGTGGGGGCCTGGGCAGGAGTGGGACAGATCTGAAGGTCTCTGGCAGAAGGAGATGGGAGCGGGGCAAGTGCCAAGGCATGGTCCACTGGAGGAGCCTCACTGCCTGCTAAAACCCCTCCGCCGGAGCCCATCAAGCCAGATATGTGAAGTAGGTGAGGGCCATTTGCTGGCCACTTCCAGGCAATGGTGTCACAAAGGGTGACACGTCCCCAGCATGCACCCAGAGGGCGGGGCCGACATAGCAGGGGCTGGTTCATTGCTGTTTCCAGATGGCCTTGTGGACTAAGACTGGATACATTTCAGCATAGATGGCCACCACAAAATTGTACATTGGCTCCCAGCTGGCCTGGGCCAGGGCCAAGGCAGTGGGGCTGTTCCCTTGCTGTTTCCAGGATGGCTTCGTGGGCCACATGAAACCACTTTGCGGGCCACATCTGTCCCCCAGGCCTTGTGTTTGACATGTCTGCTTTAAAGTGTCCCTAAGCGAACCCCACCCCACAGTTCATCCGGATGATTCAGACTGGCCAATCCCCAGGTGTTAAGTCCATTGTGGGAAAGGGGAGATAACATCAATCCAGCTCCATTTGTAGTGCAATGTTCCACAGCTCTTCACACCTCCTTTTGAGAATGGAGAAATGAGCCAGGTCCCAGAGGTTTGTACCCCCCCCCCTTTTCCTAGCTGCCCGGTTAGGGAGGAGAAGATCCAGAAAGATGCGTAGTGCAGGAAGCAATTTGTTACATTGTAATGGATAGCAGACATGGAGTCAATAAACAAAAGGTTACATTGTAGCAAATAGAGGAAGTGAAAGCAATAAACCTGCATGCATATCCCCCCTCCCCCTTGGAAGTATGGCAGAATCCAGGGAAAGGTGAGATTTGATTTTAGATCAGAGGAGATAGATAGAAATGAAATATAACTGGATTCTGACACTGCCCTTCAAGAAATCCACATCCCAGAAATGGACAAAGCTACACATACTTCAGGTTTATTCAACCAGGAACCAAGACTTTATTGCCTCTTTCCCATTTCAAAATATACCTGTTCAAAACTTGGGCAGTGTTTATGATATGAAATTGGCATTTTTTTATTGTATTATCTAAATAAAAGAGAATGCTTAATCCTGCAGTTGCTAGAGTATTGAAATCCAAGCAAACTAATATTTACATACCAAAGTCTTCACAGAATCATTAATCCCTTAGTAATTGAAACAAATTTACACGTATTTAGAAAGTCACAGATCTATAGGAATTCAATGTGTGTTCAATATTCATTTCTACTGAATTGTAAAACACTTCCTCTTATATTTTATTAGCATAGCAGGCTGAACTGGTCCAGCTATGTTGTGTGTGTTGGTGGTTTTTAAGAGGGAGCTAATGTTTCTCTGCTTTCTGGACCTGTGTTCCTATATACACAAACAGGAGCAAGCAGCTGCCTGTTTAATTTTCCTTGGTGGACAGAATCAAAGACAAAGATATATCTGAATATGTTAGTCTTTGAAAGTAAAGGCTACCAGATCTGAACTGCAAGCATCTAGTTAATCACCACATGGCAGCAAGGAGATACAAAAAAAAAATCTTACCTTTTTCCTATCACTTAGTGGTCGCCTGAAATGTTGCTGTCTTAGGTAGGTAGCCCTAACAGAGAGAGCTGTGTGAAGAAAAGGAAGTGCATAGAAGCTTGGTAGAGTTAGAATGGTTGCTCCATCAAGGAGGTAGGCTGAAAGCAGGGTGATTTAAAAAGTCTTGCTCTTTTAAATTGCCATTATTTGTCTGTTGCAAACCTTATGCACAGAATCTTTTTAAGCATCAGGTAAATGCCTGTCACAGGTAAGGGAGAGGGAAGGTTAAAAGCTGACACAAATATTGAAATATAATTATAACTTAAAATTATATTTAGTAATGGGCTTATGAGTCCTCAAATAATTTGGAAGCCAAAAAAATCTCCTTCCCTTCAAGAAATTAAATACATTTTCACATCAAAAATGATATATCAGAAAATAAGCAGCATAAAAAATAACCTTAGAAAAGAATAGTTGCTGAATTGTAACTGATTCAGGGTGCAAATGACAAAAAAAAAAAATCTTTTATTTTACATCTCAGCTCCACAAGCCATGCAAATCTTCCTTCATCAGTCTAAGACAGTGTTTGAAGTTGAAGATTTCCTATTGCTCTTGCCAATCAATATATGGCCTTGAAGTAATCCAGCAGGAAAAAAAAATTTTTTTCTTTAAACCTATGGAGGCAAATTAGAAGTCCACAGTAGTTCCAGTTCAAGTGTTACACATGCTGCTTAGAAGAACCCTATGAATAGCTTGATGAAAGTGTTGCTGACTGTTTTTTTTAAAGCATGTATAAGCCAAAAAAGGTTTTTGATTCTTCAGAATTAACCAATGTGGGCTCAGAGACACTCACATACACGCTATCTTGCCTGGAAAGATTGAACAAGGCCCCCAAATAGCTACTTTTGCCCCACATGTGCATTGTTACACAATAGTTCATCTTTCTGTTCTCCATCAGGACTTGGTTGTCAGGATAAGATGGATTTCTCTTGAAAACCATGTGGTCAAGTGGCTGGGAAGTGCAGGTCTGGCCTCGGAAGAACACTTTGGAGTAAATAAAGTAGAGCCCAGTTTCATCAATCACTAGACCCCTGTTCTTGTACTGGACCCCAGAAAGGAAGGCATGTCCATGGGTAGTCTCCCACTCCAGGGGCTGAGATTGCTGAATTGCTTTGCCTACAGAAACATGAAATATCATGGTGAAAATGGGAGAGATTTCATGCAATCAATAGCATTTGCTGTGGGACCCCATTCTCCTATCAGAATAACAGAGCTGGAAGGGACCATGGAGGTCATCTAGTCCAGCAACCTGCCCAAGCAGAAGATCCTATCCCATTTCAGACAAATGGCTGTCCAGTCTGCTTTTTTCCCATTTTTTCACCCTTATTATTTGTTAGCAACTCAAGGTACCCAACATTCTTAACATTCCTCCTCCCTTCTCTCCTTCCCCCCACCCCCAACAACAACCCTGTGAAATGGGCTGGGGAGAGAGAGAGGGGGGGAGGTGGCTGGCCCAGAGTCCTGCAGTCCCCCTAGACTAAGGTATAATTTGAACTCACAGCCTCCCAGCCCCCCCCCCTCCCCAAAGAACCATACCCAGCAGCATCAGAAGTCCAAAGCAGCGGTTGCAAGTATGGAGCAGCGACTTTCCCTGGATGTAACTTGTGAAACACAGCTCCCCGCCGCCACCAGCCACTCTCCCACAACCGGGGCACCCCTGGACCTGTCTGCTGAGGCTGCCCCAGACAAAGAAGAGAAGGGTGGCTGCTCACTGAGTGAAGAGCCACCTGAGATATGCTGGGCTGAAGCCATGTCTGACCCCATGGCCTCCGAGGCTATCAAACTAGGTGCCAAAATATTTGCACATTCCTTTCTTTCTTTAGGTCAAATGAATCTTGCAATTCTAGTCAAATGGCTGGAATTTCAGTTATTCCCAGGTGGATCGTTCTGCTACTTTGTTTCTTGTTTCAGATGCCTTGATTCACTGCTGGTTATTATGCTTAACTCTTGCTATAGCATATTACCTGCATCTCACAGCATCCACAGCAACTTGCACTAATTTGGTCCTCAATTGAAATGCACAAATAGCAATTAATTGCATATTAGGTAGTTCTTAGAGAATATTCAGAAATGAATCCCTTTGGTTACCCATATTTGGTGAAATCTTCCATATGTAGAGTGGGTCACTTATTGCAACATTCAGCTGACCCCAATAAAGATTCAAGTACAGGCCATTTGTGAGATGAGAACAGGATGGGGAAGAAAATATGATGTTAACACTCTCAAATTGCCTTTCTTCAGTAGAGTACAAAGGCTGATCTTCTGCATGGGGAGTAATATGTCACTATAGTTTTGATATTAAACCTTGTCCTTTTTGTCTAGGACAACGTTGCTTGCTTTTTAAAAAGATGTGGGATGTTAAAAGGTAACAAAAATAGCTTGTTCTTCTGTTGGTTGGCATGAGTCATCCTATTTATAAACTAGTACCACCCCATGTGCAAGTTAAGCTTGTCAAATGCTACCTGCAATAGGAAGAACAGAATACAGAATAATAGAGTTGAAAAGGACTCTGGAGGTCTTTTAGTTCAGCACCCTGCTCATCCAGGAGACTCTATATTATTCCAGACAAATGACTGTCCAATCTCTTCTTAAAAACCTCCAGTGATGAAATACCCACAAGTTCTGGAAGCAAACCATTCCAAGGATCAATTGTTCTCACTGTCAGGATGTTTCTCCTTAATTCTAGGCTGGATAGCTTTTTGATAATCTTCCATCTGTTACTTCTTGTCCTGCCCTCAGGTGTTTGGAGAATAGAGAATGTTCTCTATATAAAGGTAAAGGTTTCTTTGTCAGTGGTGCTCAACTCTAGGGCACAGTGCTCATTTCTGTTTCTTGGCCGAGGGAGCCGGCATTGTCTGAAGACATTTTCTGTGCTCATGTGGCCAGCATGGCTATATGCCAAAGGCGCATGGAACAGTGTTACATTTCCACTGAAGTAGTACCTATTAATCTACTTGTATTTGCATGTTTCTGAACTGCTAGTGGGAGGATCTGGGGCAAGTTATAGGAGCTCATCTGATTGCTCAGAGCTCCCATTCTCGAACCTGGGCTGTCAGCTCTCCAGCTGACAAACTCAGCATCTTTAACCACTGAGTCATTGCACCCCTGTTCTCTATGACAGCCCCTCAAATAATGAATAACAGAATAACAGAGTTGGCAGGGACATTAGAGGTCTTCTAGTCCAATGCCCTGCTTAAGCAGTGCAGTCTCTTCTTACAAATCTCTAGTGATGGAGCACCCACAACTTCTGAAGACAACCCATTTGACTGGTTAATTGTTCTCAATGTTAGGAAATTTCTCCTTAGTTCTAGGTTGCTTCTCTCCTTGATTAGTTTCCTCCATTGCTTCTAGTCTAGCTTTCTGGTGCTTTGCAAAATAGGTTGACCCCCTCCCCTTTTCTTTATGGCAGCCCCACAAATAGTAGAAGACTGCTATCATGTCGCCCCAGTCCTTCTCTTTGTTAGACTAGACATACGTAGTTCCCGCAACCATTCACCATGGAGTTTAGCCTCCAGTCCCCTAATTATCATTATTGCTCCTCTCTGCACTCTTTCTAGAGCAGACACATCAAACAAAAGGCCATTGGGCCAAATCTGGCCTGCGATGGGCCCAGATTTAGCCCATGGGGCCACCCAGGAGATAGCGTGGGACCACCCCATGGCCAACCACAACCTGGCACTCCCCAAGTACACTCACAGGAGGTGGCAAGCACATGGAGGCCCATGGTGTCTAGCAGCAGCTGCAGCCCACTGGCCCCTCAGCTGGTGCACTCTGGGATTCCATAGCCCGTGCACTGCAGATGGGTCGGAGCCCTGCAACCACCAGGCCAGCTCTCCAAGCAGCAGGCAGAGGCCTGCTCTATCCCACCATCGGTCTTTGCTTGCCCATGGCCACTGTGGCTGGGATGGGGCAAGCCATCTGATGGGCTGGATTGCATGCCTCCCCACTGTGCCTCTGCCTCTGCCAGTTGCTGGTGCCACCACCACAAAGTGAGGTAAGGCGAGGGAGATGGTGGGGCAGGGGTAGCTCCCCACTGCAGACCCTGCACACTCAGCCCTCACCATCCAACCTTGTCCTCCAGCTCCACCGCACACACGGGATGTGCCTCCTGGCCGCCACCCTATCACAATGGCCCTGGTCAACAGGAAGGGCGAGGAGCCCCCATCCCAAGAGGCAGCCAGGACTCCACAGCCCTTGCAGTGCAGGTGGGTCTGAGCACCACAACCATTGCGCTGGCCCTCCAAGCAGCAGACAGAGGCAGAGGCGTGGGGTGGAGGCACAAGAACTGGCATGCTGGATGTACTATGCGGCCATGCGGCTGCCTGCCCCATCTCAGCTGCAGCAGCCACAGGCAAGCAAAGACTGATGGTGGGACATGGCAAGGCAATCCAGCTGGTCACCATCACACCATGTTGTGCTTGGCCCCCACCATCCAATCTCATCTTCCAGCGAGGCTGCCACCCACTCCACCACCACCAATGGCCCTGGTGAACAGGAAGGCTGGGGAGCCCCTGTCCCTAAGAGGTAGCCAGGATTCCCTCCCTACTCCTCCTTGCTTGAGCCCAGCCCAAGAGCTGCCCCACATGTCCTGCATCCACACACCTTGGGGTCCCGCAGTCAGATCACCCCTGCCCTGCCACCTGCCTCGCCTTGCCTCACCTCATGGTGGTGGCACCTGCAGCAGCAGCCTTGTCCAGCAGGAGCCCCTCAGCTGGAGACTCCTGGATCCCTCCCAGTCCTGCTTAGTCTCCCCTAGGCTCTCTCTGGCATGAGCGACGAGCTGGCCATGCCCTACCTGGCTACACCCACCATGCCAGCCACACCCACCAAGCCCCTGAGGGCAACCACAGTGCTGATGTGGCCCTCAATGAAATCAAGTTTGACACCCCTGTTCTAGAGTTTCAAATTCATTTTTGTATTGTGACCAGAACTGGACGCAGTATTCCAAGTGTGGTCAAGATACGAATGTTAAGTAACATCTGTTCCTTTGAGGTGGAAGCTTCTCACTTTCCTTGGCAAACATGCAGAGGATCTTTGGTTGCAGATTTTAAAAGCCTATACCAGTGGTGGTGAACCTATGGCACAGGTGCCAGAGGCGGCACACAGAGCCCTCTCTGTGGGCCCACGCACCATTGCCCCATCCCCGACATCCCCGTGGGCCCCTCCTCACCAGCAGGAACCCCGGAGGAGAGTCGCCCCCAGGCGTGGCCCGCATGGAGCAGCATAGCCAAGGACATGGCAGCTGGGCAGCAGGGACAAGACTCTGCTCTCACATCCCGTTGCGTGCAGATGATGCTGTGGGGTGCGGGCGGAGGGTGCAGCTGCCATGGCACTACAGGGCTGTCTGGGTGATCTGCAGTGAATTGCAGAGGTGGTAGGTGGCCCTGTCGGCAGGTGGAGGGGTGCAGGGGCAGAGCAGGGGCAGGGGAGGAGCAGGGGTGGGTGAGGGGGAGGGGCAATTTTTGGGCACTCAGTGTCTAAAAGGTTCACCATCACTGGCCTATACTTTTGTCAAATCTGTTCCTGGGGAAAACTCCACAGGATTTGGAATTGCTTCTTGGTGAGTTATAATAAAAATGGGCAATGACAATAATTATGCTGTGCAATGTTGAAAGGACTTTGCTTCTGGAGCTTTGCTGACCTGATGGCCAGGCTAACAATTTGGCAGCAAGCCAAAGCAAAGGTTTCAAACATGCTTCCACAAAGGGAACAAGCCCTCTAGGGGTGAAGTGGCGGAGCAAAGGAAGGGAATTAGATATATCAGCAATCTGTGTTTTTGCTGCCTACCTGTTAAATGTGCACTCCTCTTGACTTTCTTTTCTGCTGTTCTGTTCAGAGCTCCTACATTGCAGCAGAAGAGAAAAAGAAGTTCATGATTGTTTGGTGCCATCAGAAGGATAATTCAGAATATGAAAGTAGAAAATTCAAGATGCAACCTAATTGGATTTTGTTTCTTAAAGCAGTCTCGTAAAGCAATCCTAAAGAAGCCAAAACTAGATTTTCCAAAGAATCAGCACTGATTGCCTCAAATAACTTGATATACTGTATGAGGAAATCTGGACTAGTCTAGACTAGGAAATGTTATGCATTCCAATAAAATTAAATTGGGATATTCTGCCAAAACCAATTTCATAATAGCACAAATGTCAGTGAAAAACTTTACTAACAAGTCATCTTCTACTTATGAAAATGTATATCTTTATATTTTTAAGATATCATAAATAGTTACAATGTATGGCTGTGAAAGTTGGACCATAAGAAAGGCTGAGTGCAAAAGAATTGAGGCTTTGCACTATGGTGCTGGAGAAGACTCCTGCGAGTCCCCTGGACTACAAGGCGATCAAACTGGTCAGTCCTAGAAGAGATCAACCCCGACTGCTCTTTAGAAGGCCAGATCCTGAAGTTGAAACTCAAGTACTTTGGCCACCTAATGAGAATGAAGGACTCACTGGAGAAGAGCCTAATGCTGGGAAAGATTGAGGGCAAAAGAAGAATATGACGACAGAGAATGAGGTGGCTGGATGGAGTCACTGAAGCAGTAGGCGTGAGCTTAAATGGATTCCAGAAGATGGTAGAGGACAGGAAGGCCTGGAGGAACGTTGTCCATGGGGTCGTGATGGGTCAGACACGACTTCACAACTAACAACAACAAATAGAGAAGATTGCATTTAAGAACACTGAATGTTAGGGGACATTAGAGAATGACAAATAAATGTGAATTTTTACAGAAACCTGGTCCAGATGGATGAGTAACAAAGGCTTTCATTTAGGACAAAAGGAACAAATTTTTCAAAGAAAATGCTGGGCCAAAAAAAGAAGAAGGACTATGTACTAAGGCTTTAAGTTGTTTTATATAAATTTAGAGTGGTATTTTTATCTTTACTTATCATAAACTAAAATTGAGGGGGAAGGGTGGCCAATCTTTAGAATCTCTACAACACAAAATCAGTCATAAATCCAAAGAAAACAAATCAAACAATAAGGTAGGGAGTGATGAGAAAAAAGAAAAACTCAAACAACAATCAGGAGATGCAGGAAACATACCCATGGACAGACATAAAGGGCTTAAATGCTTATATACAAATGCTCAAAGCTTGAGGATGAAAAGGGTGAACTAGAACAGGGCTTTTCAACCAGTGGTATGGGTACCACCTGTGGTACATTGGTACCTGGCAGGTAGCACGCGACCATCCTAGAAAAGTGGTAGCAGGGGAGGGGAATGAGCTGAACCAGTGGTAGCACCACACAAGCCTGAGTGAGAGTTGGCTGAAGCTGCAGGGCTGTCAGGGCTCAGCGGAAGTGCCAGGATCAGCTCTTCTTTGGGGCTGTCAGGCCTCAGTGGAAGCACCAGGATCAGCGCAAGACTCCAGCTGGAGCTCGGCGCTGATCCTGGTGCTTCTGCTGAGCCCTGAAGAAGCACCAATCAGCTGGAAAGCAGCACTGATCCTGGCACTTCTGCTGAGCCCAGAAAAAGTGCCAATCTGCTGGAATGTTGCAGCATCTCCAGGGTCTTGTGATTTTCATTCAGATGCTTGGCAACTGATTCATATTTATGATGGTCACAGTGTCCCGGGGTCATGTGAAGTGACCAAACCCAGCTGAAACCACCCATCCACCCCCCACCCCTGCTGCTAATTCTCAACAGAAATGTTCACAACAGTGAAAACCTCGGATAGGAGGAAGAGCGCCACCGGGTGGGCAGGCAGGTGTCTTGCTCAGCTGTGTCTTGGGGGGCACTTTTTTCAGTGCCATTGTAACTTCGAACAGTCACTAAGCAAACTGTTGTAAGTCAAGGACTACCTGTACTTTATCACTTTTTTCCTTTTTTTTCTGGGTCATCAAGTTTTTGACATCTTACTAGGCGACTGATAGTACTCGGATGTTGCCATATCCTAAAAGTGGTACAATGGGTGAAAAGGTTGAAAAGCCCTGAACTAGAAACAATAGTATACGAGGGTGGATATGACATAGTTGGCATTACAGAAACCTGGTGGGATGAAACCCATGACTGGAATGTACTGATGGATGGATAAAAATTGTTCAAAAGAATTAGATCCACAAAAAGAGGAGGGGGAGTTGCACTATATGTAAGAGAACACTACGTATCTACAGAAATGCCACGTGATCAAAGATAAAATCCCTCCAGAATGTATATGGGTCAATATAAAAGGGAGAAAAGTGACATTGCCATAGGTATATATTACAGGCCACCCAAGCAATCAGAAAAAAATAGATGAACTGTTTGCCAATCAGTTAACAAACATATGTAGGAAGCATACCACAGTAGTAATGGGAGACTTTAACTATCCAGATATCAACTGGGAGACAAACTCTGCAGCGTGTGGGAGATCAAACAGATTCTTAACCAACCTAGCCAACAACTTTATCATCCAAAGGTGGAGGAAGGAGCTACAAGTAAAGCCATACTGGACTTAATTCTAATTAATAAAGAAGAAGTGATAGAGGGAGTTGAAATTGCCAGAACCTTGGGTGTAAGTGACCACGTCATACTGAAATTCAATATAATGCAAACACAAGCAATAGAAAATAATCCAACCAGTGTCTTAAACTTCAGAAGAGCTGATTTTAAAAAACTCAGAGAGAACCTAGGAAAGATTCCATGGACAAAAATCCTAAAGGGGAAAACAACCAAAGAAGCATGGGAAACTCTGAAAAATATGATCATAAAAGTGCAGTCCAGAACAATACCCTGAAAAAGAAAAACAAGAAATTCAAGAAGAAACCAGAATGGCTGCACAAAGTTCTCTTTGGCAAATTAAAAGACAAAAAGGACAAGTACAAAAAATGAAAAGAGGGACACTTAACTAAGGCTGATTATCAGTAGACAGCCAGAACATGTAAAGATGAAGTCAGGAAAGCAAAGGCTCAGAATGAACAAAGGCTTGCAAAAGAAATCAAGGACAATAAAAAAAGTTTCTTTCAACATATTAATAAAAAGAAAAAATCAAGGAAACTAAAGAGAGAAGATGGCAAGGAAGTAACAGGCAGTAGGGAGAAAGCAGAGCTTCTTAACTCATTCTTTGCATCAGTCTTCACACAAAAAGAAATTATAACCCAACAGACAAACAAAAAAAAACTACTGCAAAAGATAAACTAGAAACAAAAATTAAAATAAGCAAGAAAATGGTAAGAGAATACCTATCCAACCTTGACGAATATAAATCACCAGGACCCAACAGATTACATCCCAGAGTTCTGGAGGAGCTGGCAGATGTTATTTCAGAACCATTGCACTATATCTTTCAAAAATCCTGGAGCACCGGGAAGTACCTGATGATTGGAAAAGGGCTGATGTGCTTCCCATCTTCAAGAAAGGAAAAGAAACAGACCCAGGAAACTACAAACCAATCAGTCTAATATCAATACCTGGAAGGATCCTGGAAAGATAATTAAAAAACAGACTTGCGAACAACTAGAGGCAAACAAAGTTATAACTAGCAGCCAGCATTGGTTTGTTAAAAACAGATCATGCCAAACCAATCTTATTTCATTCTTTGATAAAGTGACTAAATTAGTAGACCAGCGAAATGCTGTGGACTTAGTATACTGAGATTTCAGTAAGACATTTGACAAAGTAGACACAACCTGCTGCTTAGTAAGGTAGAAAAAGGTGGGATAGACAACTTCAACACCAGATGGATCTGTAGCTGGCTGACAAACCATACTCAGCGAGTAGTCCTCAGTGGTACTACATCCACATGGAGAGAAGTAAGCAGTGGGTTACCACAAGCCACCGTCTTAGGCCCAGTACTCTTTAATATCTTCATCAATGACTTAGATGAGGGAATTGAAGGGAAACACATCAAATTTTCAGATGACACTAAACTGGCAGGAATAGCCAACACCCAGAAGACAAGCTGAGAATCCAAAAAAGATCCTGACAAACTTGAACAATTTGCTCTATCCAACAAAATAACTTTTAATGTGGAGAAAAGCAAAGTTTTACATTTAGGCAAGAGAAATGAAAGGTATAGGTAAAGGTTAGGCTAGACCTGGCTCAAAAACAGTAACTATGAGAGGGACCTTGGAGTCCTAGTGGATGATCACTTGACAATGAGCCAGCAGTGTGCAGCAGCAGCCAAAAAAGCTAATACAATCCTGGGTTGTATAAACAGACACATAGAATCAAGATCATGTGAAGTGTTGAGACTTTGGAAAAAGTTCAGAGTACAGCAACTAAAATGATCAAAGGCCTGGAGACTCAAACAAACCCAGCTGAAGGACTGGGTTTGTTTGGACAGTCTAAAGAAAAGAAGAAACAGGTGACATTATAGCAATATTCCAGTATTTGAGGGCAGTGGTGGGATTCAAATATATAAACAACCAGTTCTCTATGTGGATGTTGCTTCAGGAAGTCCATTCTGGGCCTGGGCAACAAAAGATTAACTACTGGTTCTGCTGAAGTGGTGCAAACCGTCTGAATCCCACCACTGTTTGAGGGGCTGCCACAAAGAAGAGGGCATCAAACTATTCTGCAGGACTGGGTTTGTCTGGATAGTCTAAAGAAAAGAAGAAACAGGTGACATTATAGCAATATTCCAGTATTTGAGGGCAGTGGTGGGATTCAAATATGTAAACAACCAGTTCTCTGTGTAGATGTTGCTTCAGGAAGTCCATTCTGGGCCTGGGCAACAAAAGATTAACTACTGGTTCTGCTGAAGTGGTGCAAACCGGCTGATTCCCCCCACTGTTTGAGGGGCTGCCACAAAGAAGAGGGCATCAAAGTATTCTCCAAAGCACCAGAGAGCAGGACAAAAAACAACGATTGGAAACTGACCAAAGAGAGAAGCAACCTGGAATTAAGGAGAAACTTCTTGACAGTGAGGACAATTAACCAATAGAACAGCTTGCCTTCAGAAATTGTGGGTGCTCCATCACTGAAGGTTTTTAAGAAGAGACTAGACAGTCACTTGTCTGAAATGGTATAGGTTCTCCTGCTTGAGCAGGAGGGTGGACTAGAAGACCTCAAAGGTTCCTTCCAGCTCTATTCTGTTCTGTTCTATAATACTATTTGACATTGACCAGGGAAAGGTGAGCCAGACACAGTAATAATTTAGGAGGATTTTAGATGCATTAAGGATGTATGGCATGTATGGCAGAAAGAGATTATGTTGTTTAAGAGCAGTTGCTACCAAGGACAAGGTCAGCGGGAGTCAAGAACATCAATAATGTAATAAAATTGCTACAGAAATTGAATGAATGAATGAATGAATGAAAATATATTTTTTAAAAAAAACATGATGGATACAACAGAGCGACTGAAACCTCCCCCTTTTAAATATGCAATAGTTATAGAAAGGGGTGAGGCTTTGATTACCTGTGCCATTTTAATGATTCCCTCCACAGATGTTTCTGATTCTTATTGCTGAATTTGTGGAACCAACAGTGGGATTTTATATTAAAATTTGGCTCTGAAAAGTAGGCAACTTGTGGTCTTCTTTTCCTTTCACACAGGAGTTTGCATGGAAATGCCCTGTTCTATATTGTGGTACTTTATAAATCTGTTCCTTAAAATTTTTGGACTTGCCTTCTTGTCTTACTCTCCATTTTGCCTATACTCCAAGCCTGCACCAGTTATTTGTTTCCTAACCAAGACTCATTCCATTATTTCAAGGTAATAATGGGAGGATTATAACATGTGCAAAGCTATGAATTCAGCTATATTACCAGAAAGCACAATTTTTGCTTTGCATCTTCCCAATCTTCACAGGACTAGGAGTTCTCACCTTTCAGCATATCAGGAGATGGAGGAATACATCCAGAGCTGGAAAACTGTGAAAGCAAGAAACATACAGGTATATTTGGAAAGAAAAGCCATCCCATGAAGTTTACATAGCTAGGTAAGCTTCTATAGGTCCAGACCCATTCTCCCAACTAGTGGAGATATCTTATGTACTTTCCCCCTGCTTCAAAATTGAAATGTTACCTTTTGAAGTTCCTTCTGCAAGTGAAAGATCTGAAACATTGCCAGCCCGACCCCCATGATGGCAAGTAGAATCAGCAAAAATACCACCAGGAAACAAAGGCATGTACCATCTCCATGATTCTGACTATGCCTTTTCCTCCCTGGCACAGGCAATGGTAAGCAAATGTCCTGAGCTGGCACAATTTCACTAGAATGGTACAGTCTCAGTTGAGGAGCACAGTCTGAGCTAGAAAGAGCACTGTTGTTCGTCCAGAAGATCTGGGGATAACCACAATACTGATTCTGTTGCATGACTGAAAGATGCATAAATTGAGTCTCCCTTACTGCTGCTAAGATAATCTTAGATGCCGTGTCATCAAAATGCTCTCTTCCTGCACTGTATCTCCAAAGCAACTGCACCCAAAGCTGAAAAACATTGGGGTTGACTGCTGAAAACCTCACAGTTTCCGCCCACTGTTGTGATGCTAGATAATTGCATGCATAAGGAGGTGCTTTGAAGAAGACCCAAAACCACCCTCAAGTGTATCATCCTTAAAGTAAGTTTAATTAAAAATCATAGCTATCTGTTGCAAAAAAACAAAACAAAACAAAGAAACCTCTGACATCTACAACCCCCCCCCCAAACAAAACCAACACCCCAGAAGATAAACTGGATCCAAAAAGATCTAGACAAACTTGAACAATGGACCCTATCCAACAAAATGAGTTTCAATGTGGAGAAAAGCAAAGTTTTACATTTAGGCAGGAAAAATCGAAGGTACAGGTACAGATTAGGTGAGACCTGACTTAAAAATAGTAACTGGACCATGACAAGTGGACAATCACTTAACCGTGAGCCAGCAGTGTGCAGCATCAGCCAAAAAAGCTAATACAATTCTGGGTTGTATAAACAGAGGCATAAAATCAAAATCATGCAAAGTATTAATACTGATTTATAAAACCCTAGTAAGACCACACCTGGAATTTTGCAGCCAATTTTGGTCACCATATCACAAAAAAAGATGTTGAGAGTTTGGAAAAAATTCAGCGAAGAGCAACTAAGATGATCCAAGGTCTGGAGACTAAAACATATGAAGAACGACTGCAGAACTTGAGTTTGGCTAATCTAAAGAAAAGAAGAAATAGGGGAGACATGATAGCAGTGTTCCAGTATTTGAGAGGCTGCCACAAAGAAGAGGAGGTCAAATTATTCTCCAAAGCACCAGAGGGCAGGACGAGAAACAATGGTTGGAAACGGATCAAAGAGAGAAGCAACCTGGAATTAAGGAGAAACTTCCTAACAATGAGGACAATCAATCAGTGGAACAGCTTGCCTCCAGAAATTGTGGGCGCTCCATCACTGGAGATTTTGTAAGAAGAGACTAGACAATCACCTGTCTGAGATTGTATAAGTTCTCCTGCTTGAGCAGGGGGCTGGATTAGAAGACCTCCAAGGTCCCTTCCAGCTCTGTTCTCTTCTCTTCTGTTCTCTTCTGTTCTGCTCTATTCTAAAATAACCCTTCACAGTCCTTTCCATCTGGTCCCACCCACTTTTCATCATAACTTTTCTTATTGTGCCCTCTAGAAGAATTATATGGAGTATGAGTAAGGTTGCCAATTGTAAGGATACTTGTAGTTTAGCAAAATAGTGCAGAATTGCATTTGTCCAACACAAAGGACTGGAAAGAGCTTTACACGCACCTTAATTTTAACCTTAACTCTACATATACTGAAAAATCAGTACGGTTCCCAAGCTATAAGGGCAGTTGTATGGACTATTTCACTGAATTACTTTTGTTCATAGATTTTGGATGATAATCAAAAGGGAAATTAGATGTTAAAAGCCTGCCACAACACTCTTTATGGAAACTTGAATGGGTAACTGGGCCCCCAAGCTCTGATGATATGTGATGATAGAATAATTCCAGGGTCCTGGGTCAGTATCATCTTGATTGTTAGCTGCATAAACAAACTGATGGAGACGGCTCATTAATCTCCTTTTGTGCTGTTTTAGTGGATTCATACTGGCTACAAGAAGTGGTGGGTGTGTTCTAAGTTTCATTTGAGATTTCCATTGCATTAGAAGTGGGCTAGTCTTTTCAGGTGCATCCATTGAATGGAAAAAGCCTTGTTTCATATTTTAGACAGAATACAGTCCACACATCTTAACCTAACCATTGTTTACTCAGTTTGGTTAGATTTGTGTGATGCACTGTAACTGCAGGAACTGGTAGACACAACATGGTAAGCTAAAATTAGGGCTAAGATGTGTTTCTAGTTATGTAAAAAACATTGGCAAAATATTGTTTAACTGAGCATTTTAATGCTATAATACTAAGTCAAAGAAAGCTTTTTGATTACTAATACTGTACTGTCGGGTTGGTCCCAGTTTGGGCATTTAGGAACGAAAGACCCTTGACTCCATTTGTAGCAAAAAGTATACTTTTACTAAAGCCAAGTGGTTACACCATAAGCAAAGCTGAATCTGAATATTCCTACTCAAACCCTGCCTTTTCCCCATTTCCTGAGCCCTCTCCCCTTGACTAGTTCATGAGTGTCCAAAAATATTTAAATCCAGTAACAGCTTTGAGGTTTGGCACCTCTTTGGTGTAGTTTCACATTCCATTCTCACACTCATGTCCTTGGATGGCCGGATTGGCACCTCTGGTTTCTCTCTTCCTGTCATCCCTTCCCCCTAATTCCCATTCTCCCCCTCGCCAGCAAAACAAAGTAGACTGAAGTGTTTATGACAAATTCCTTAATAATGTATTTTTAATAAATCACAAACAATCATTTTAAACACTGTTTTGATAATGCATCATCACTCAGATTAATAAATGTTTGGTGCCACATAATTTTTATTTTTGGGAAAACAGAATAACTGTAGAATATATAAGTAGGAAGAGATTGTTTTAAATACCATCTAGTCCAGAATCCATATTTTTGACAGAAGACCTTCCAGACCCCAGCTGAAAACCTCTAATGGTGGCTCACTTCTTCACAGTTCTTTCCACTCAGAAATTCCTTCTAATATTCAATCTTACTTTCTTTTAATTTCAAGTAGCTAGTCCTTGTCCTACTTTCAATTTCAATAGAGAATACATCAACTTATAGTCTCACTGGAGAGGATTTTTTTTAGATATTTGTAAATTGCTGTCTTATCTCCCTGTTCATCTTCACTTTTGCAAGCTAAATATGCCCAGCTCCTTTAACTGTTCTCATACAGCTTGGCTTCAAACTCCCTGTTATCTTGGCAGCTGTCTTGTCAACCACTGAATCTTGTGTCTCTTGTAAAGTGGTGACCAGGGCAGTCTAAACCAGAAAATAGAAGCAGCCCAAAGTCTTATTGGCTTTTTGCTCATATTCAGATGGTGGTCCTTTAAGACATCTATATCCATTGCACATGCACTGTCAGATCTCCCCAAAACTACATTCTATTCCTTTGATTTTTTCTACCCAAAAGTAGGATTTTACACTTGGTGTCATCCTTATTGGATTATGCCTGATGTGGAGTTTGCAGGGAGTTTTTGTCTTCTATGACATTAGCCAATCCTTGTTGGTAGTCTACCTTTTCTATGTTTGCACTGCTTCCAGTGGAATTGGCAGGGAGGGGATCAACAAAGTCAAAGCCCTGTCCTGCATATAAAATAGGGGTGGGGCTTCAGTTTGACATTTTGATCTCATTTGTGGATGATCCTGGGTGCTTCACAGTCTAATACAGTGATGGCGAACCTTTTAGAGACCGAGTGCCCAAATTGCAACCCAAAACCCACTTATTTATCACCAGGTGCCAGGTGGGCGTGGCCCACTGGGTGGGAGTGGCTGTGGTGGTCACGGCAGACTGGGTGGTGTGGCCAAGGTGGGCGTGGTCACCTTGATGTTGCTTATGGGGAGGGATGCCTGTGGGGGCTGGGCAGGGTTGGGGGAGATCCAGGGGGTCTCTGGCAGGTGGGGTGGTGGGCAGGAGGCTCATTTTGCAGGGTGAGGTGAGGCAGGGTGGGGTGCCATTGTCACAGGGCAAGGCGAGGCAGGGGCCAGGGCGGCTGCTGCCTGACACCATCGGCCCCCGCACACAGAGGCCAGCGAGCGCATGGGGCCGACAGTGTCCGTCCATAGCCTGCTGGCCCCTCAATTGGCACACTCTGGGGCTCTGCAGCCCGCCACCAGCAATTCAGAGAAGCCACCTCTGAGCTGGAAGGCTGGCTGACAGATGAGGAGGTGATGCAGTGGGTCGTGCCCAGGAAAAGGAGAGCATGCGAGGCCAGGAAGGATGGGACAGTGGGGAGGGAAACCAGCCATGCTGGGATGCATCCAACCACATGGGACCTCGGCAAGTTAGCAAGCAGCTGGTTGAAGAGGGATGGTTGCCATCTCTGGGGCATGGCAACGTGCCCACAGAGAGGGCTCTGAGTGCCGCCTCTGGCATGCATGCAATAGGTTTGCCACCACTGATTTAATACTTTGCTCGCTAAAGATGTAAAAGAAACAGGTAGTTTTCTAGTTCCTCATCTTTTCCATTTTTGAATATTTGAACTATTTTCCCCATTTCTACATTCTGGCACCTCACCACCACTTCATGCATTTTGGAAGATTAGAGTCAGCAGTTCGAAAATCATTTGGCTATCTTTCTGAACATTCCTTCAGAATCCAGTTATATTTCTTCTCTATCTATCTTCTCTGATCTAAAACCAATTCTTACCCTTCGCTGGATCCTGCCATACTCCCAAGGGGGAGGGGGGATATGCATGAGAGTTTATTACTTTCACTTCCTCTATTCACTACAAGTAACCTTTTGTTTATTCGCCTTCATGTCTGCTAACCTTACAATGTAACAATTTGCCTCTTATCCTATGCCCCCTCTGAACTTCTCCTCCTTACCGGGCAGCTAGGAAAAGGGGGATGAAAAGATACAGATCTCTGGGATCTGGTTTATTTCTCCATCATCAAAATAAGGTGTGAAAAGCTATTGAATGATTGTGCGCAGCGGAGCCAGATTGATGTTATCTTTCCTGGATTTAATACCTAGAAATTTGCCAGTCTAAATCACCCAGAAGAACTGTGGGGTGGGGTTTGCTTAGGGACACTTTAAAACATCGATCTGTAAGGGAATCCCTCAGATCCTGTCTATTATGCCTGCTATCAACTACTCTTATTAAAAGTTCCTGTTGGAAGAGATTGTTTCCAAGAGTTCTGCTTTCTTAATTTGTGGGTTGAAGTGGGGCCTTACACATTCTTGGAAAGAGTATGCTGACCCTGAAGTCAATATTTTTTTGAAAATAGCAAGAAGATACTTAATATTGATTTCTGACTCATGGGCTGCTTCCCTTCACCTCTTTTTTTTTGCATATTTTTGGGAAAACAGGTCCCTGTGTCTTAAGTTAATTGCC